GCCAGGCTGCCAGCTCGTGTCAAGGCCAGGCTGCCAGCTCGTGCCAAGGCTAGGCCGCCAGGTCGGGCCAGGGTCAAGCTGCCAGCTCGCACCTATGCCAGGTCGCGCCTGTGCCAGGCCGTGTTTGTGGGACACCATCATCTTAGCAAAGGCAATTTACTGCCAAAGTGGTCCCAAGTGTCACCTAGTTGTTCTGAGTTGCCAGGCTACAAGATGACGAGCTGCCTAATGGCAAGCTGCCTGTGGCGAGCAGCCTGTAGCGAGCTACATGTGGCGAGCTCGAGTTGTCTAGTTGTCAAGAAGGTGCACTTATTTGGCATGAGGTGTCAGGTGTCACAAGATCATTGGAGGGCCAAAACCACCCTCATCACATCGCTTAACCAAATTACAAGAAAATAAGCAAACAAAAGAATATGTCCATGACTAGATACACAATGTCTAAATCACGTTCGGTAAAGGGTCCTTTTCTTTTCTTTTATTTATTTATTTATTTTCATTTGGGTAAGCAGTCGGGATTTCTTGAAAGCAAAAAATCATGCAAACCCGTTCAAAGTTAAAACAAAAACCTGCATGTTTCATCCATAGGATCGGTGTCCGCACATTACAGATAAGGAAACGTAGGTAGTAGTTCTCAGTTTTATGGTGAGATGTGCCGATACAGATCATATCATCATATTGGAAGTATGTTGGGACAGTTTTGGTTGTAAATAGATCTCAGCTCAAACAAAAAAAAATTGATAACACAAAATCTAGCCGTACATTAGGAATATCACATCTAAATGAATATTAAATTTATGAGATATGTTATTAGGTGATTGAAAAAAGTCAGGAATAGTGCACCCTTCAGTCCTGCAGCCTTGAAATATGACCATTCGCTGGTAATGCTCGGGCAATAAGTTCTTGGGCTCAGTTTGGAAGGAATATGCAAATTTATACAATACAAATATAAATAAAATAATACTTTTACATTTTACATAATTGCATTTGTACTCCTTCCACACTGAAACTAAGCATAAGCAGCTAATTAATGACATGAAAATTAGCTTTCACTAGTACAGAATATTTGGGGATTATGCTAAACACTGGATGATTCATTGCCCTAGCCATGAATTTGGCCACGTCAGACCACGACTTGTCTGAGTGTGACTCAATAGCTGCCCCATTAAAAAATTTAAAATAGACCAATAAAAAAAAACAACACTTACTCGTGACAAATAAAATAAAAGGGAATTCGAGGTCACATGTAAACATTCTGGCTTCCGACCCAAATAAATCCAAAAATCTATGTTGTGCTTGACGTGGCCAACACTCCCTCCATCGCATTCTTATGCAGAGATTTCCATTGCTGATATGGCAATTGACAATAAGCGTATGTTTGATTTGCAGAATAGGGTGTCTGAATTGGAATTCACACTGTTTGGTTGAGTAGAACGAGATTCTCATTCCCATTCCTGGTGGATAAGAGTGGAATTTAGGTGGGGCCAATTTAAGACCGGACATACTTTATAAAAATATAATATTTATTAGTTACCTAAAATAATTAATTAGTCGAATTCAAATTAAATATTCAAATATTTGAATATTTAATCGGATTTAAATTTAAATATTAATTTTTAATATATATATATATATATATATATATATATATATAACTTTATACATGCACTTATATACAAGAATTATCAACAACCTAATAGTTATTAGAACTTTTAGATTAAAGATGGCGTCCAACTTTTATGCATAAGTCTAAGTGTATGCGCAAGCTCCCCAATTTTGATTATTTCCTTCAATACACAACAATGGTATCAAAGTTGAATGTTCGACTAAATGTAAATATTTACAGCTGCATGTGATGACTTTAGGGGTGAAAGTCAGGTTTGGGTTAGATTGGGTTGAGGTCAACCCTAACCCAATTTGAAGTTTTTGGGTTGGGCTTAGGTTGGTTTGGGTTGGCCTAATGTCTTTACTTATTTTGACAAAATGTTCTTCACTTCTTCTTTCCTAAATTCCACGGTTGAGGTATTAAATTTTAATATTATTATATGTAAAAAGACATGGTTATCATCATACTTTTTGAAAAATTTTGCCTTTAAATTAAAAATTGTTACATATATACATACATGCATTAATGGATGTATTATATACAAATACTTGTATAAATAAATGTTAAATAATATTTATACATACAAATGTGAATCTGAGTCAAGTTCAGGTTGGCCAGTGCCTCAACCCTAACCCAACTCACTAGTTAGATTAGGTTCATACTTTTTTTAACCCTAACCCTAACCAAACTTTAACCCAATCCAACTTTTTTAGATTAGGTTCGGGCTAACGCAGTCCAAGTTGCAGCTTTAGGTGACTCTCTCATGGCTTTGCTAGTTTCCCCATGGTCAAGTAGTTGGCAAGAGTGGTTTGGTCTCCCATAACGATTCTACCTATAGGAATGTGTTTTCATAATTGAGCGGTTATGGTGATTCCCGTGGGCCATGGCCTAGCCCATCCTTGGATGACTCTCCATTTGGCACCTAGTAGTTGGGTARTGGTTCCAAATGGTTATGAGCAAAGGGTTCTTGGTTGATGTACTTCAAACTTGGTGATATGAAAACAAATTYCATCTTAAGGAGGAGTGCAAAGTACTTAATGTGGAAGAGATTCACACGTAAGTGGGAGATTGTTGGGATTCATGTAAGAGTGTATAAAGTGAAGAGACCAAAAAAGAAAAGAGATGCAAAGGATTTATATACAAGAWTAGGCCCACAACAAAATAGTTTAAGCTTTTGAATTAAAAATGATGTCTAACTCTTGTGTATAAGTTTTACGCATGTGTGCAAACTCCTAAGTTCTGGTGACTCCCTTAATGCACAACAAACCCCCACTAACAATGTCATACCTATCTTACCATCTATCATAATTGGGTCGTTTAAAATTCTCCTGTCCTTATTTGATACTTGTGCAAGAAGAGAGATTAAACTTGTTCCTTTGTGCCTAGTTGTTGAAGCTGGTTTTAGAGAGAGAGAGAGAGATCGAAAAAAGGGGAGATCTTGTATCTATGGATAGATGACACTCCCTAAAAGGGATGGTTCTCAGATGGACATAGTGGTAAAGTAGAAGATCATATCTCACCTCCCACCCTTTTTCTTTACTTGTATTTTTAGGGGTAGGGGGTRCAACTCAGGTTGACCCAAGCTAACAATTTACACTACCTTAGGCTTGGGCCCAAAGGCCGGCCCATTCAAAATTTAACAAAAAGTCCAACCTTTTTTTTATTTATTTTTGATAAATAAAAAGAGTAGTAACAACTAAGAAACAAGGGATACAAAAAGTTCAACCTGAGCCTGCCAAAGTTGCACTCCTATAGACGGGTGTTCAATATTTTAATATGGTTGAGGTATGGTGTGGTTGAAGACAATACTTTGGTTGTTCACAAGCTCTCTCCAATGAAACAGTAGCCTATGTGGCCACCAATGACCTGGCAAGTAAGATGATCACTTAGCATTCCTCACAGTCATGCCTCCATCATTGTTATTGGTGCATGGAGTCAATGTGGATTAACATGTCATACTAGGAGATAGCCTCATAAGATGTTACCTATCATGATTGGAAGCACACCACACCCTATAATTCCATTGCCATACAATCTGTCATATGTAGTTGTATTATTAACAATTATCCATCTTTTTATATATTCTGGTCCATTTGTTAATTATTAGAATGGTTATGACCATGTATATTTAAAAGGGAAAATTACTCAAACCTTTCATATTGTTCACAAATATTTAAACCTCCTCAATATATTTGACTTCTACAAAAGTTTCCTTTCATGTTTCAAATAAATATGCAAAACACCCATTCCATTAATTATCTTGCTCAAATATGTTGATTTTTTAATTTTTAATTTTTAAAATCTAGGGTGCATTCGTCGAGTGCACCCATGGGTGCACAGAATGCGGACTCTTAGTAGAAATGCTATTTTCCATCGATCAATCGTAAGAGAGAACAATGATATTAGTTTGTGCACATTCTAACATAACAGGGGCATAAGCATAATTAAAATTTCAATCACTCCATTATATAATTCGAAGAAGTATGGATATGCCCAATGCAGATTTCTGATTTCCACTACAGATTTATAAACATTCAAAAGGTCAAAAGCCCCCATTCTATACACCAATGCCCGCCTGTGAATTGACATCCACCCCAATTGTACTTTGAGCCTAAAAATTCTGACCCTAGGCTGAATGATCATTCTCCTTATTATGATTAATAGAGGAATATTTTTTTGTAGAGAATAAAATAAAGGTAAAATATAAAAACCTCTCCTATGGTTTCATTTTCACAAAAACCTCTCTTGCAGTATTGAAAAGACCTGCAGTTACCTCCTTTTTTATTGTCTCGTTAGTTTTTCAAAAATACTAATTTTACCATTACATCTATCAATTTATATAATAATTTACTAAAATACCCCTAAAAGAATTTTTCACTTTGAAAAGAATAAAGTAATTTTACTCTATAAAAGTGTTAGATCTAGTGAAGCTTAAAGAGCAAATCTGGCATTTTAAATTATATTGAAAGATTTTCTAATAAATTGTAAGGGTAATTTCATAACTTTTTTTTACGAGGGTAATTTCATAGTTTTGAAGTGGTCATTATTGAAACAAAGACGGAAGAAAGGTAACTGCAGGGAGGTTTTATGAAAGTGAAACTTTAAGAAAGGTTTTTTCGGATTTTCAGAAACTTCATAGGAGATTTTTATATTTTACCCTTAAAATAAAGAAAGATTTGTCAGAAAAATGAAAAGGAGATGTTTAAATAAATTTTCCCATTTAAAAAGATAGCCAATCCAGTGTTAATTCATCAAAATTCACAGGGATTCTCACTTCCCATTGATCAAATCGTTAAAGTTGTTCAGCTATCATACCCTCCGACATCGTAGAAATTGCCTAATATAACAATGAATCAATTTAACATGACATGGGCAGAAGCCGCACAACGGAAAGTGACGGAACCACCAGAATTTACGGTTAACTGTAACGGCGACCACAACCTTGACAGAGCCGCCTAATGACCATGACGTTGGAGTGTTCCAAAATTAACCTCTCTCTCTCTCTCTCTCTCCATCTCAGATGAGCTCTTCTCTTCGCAGTTGGTATCAGTTACAGGGTCCAAAATGTGGTTTGCTTTAGTGCTTTAAAGATGGATTCTTTTTAGCTTTTATTTTTCTTTCCAACTAGGCATTCGGTAGGGGGTCCCTTTTGTGGGGGGTTTAATGGAGCTTTCTTATGTGTTGTGATGATTGCGGTGATGGGTTTTCTTCCTTCTGTACAGTCAAGGATCTGAAGTTTTCTGGGTTAGTGAAGATGAAGGATCTCCCCGGAACACCTGGGACTTTGACTGGCCTTATTCTTCGAATTTCACAGTGTTTGTTCGCGGTTGGTTCGATCATTTCAATGGCCACTGCATCAACCTTCTTCAATTCTACTGCTTTCTGGTATTTGACTCTTCCGAATTGTACACCTTTTCCCCCTTCATCCCCATCTTCAGTTTGATGGAGCTTCTTAACTTTGACTTTCTTTATGAAAAGGCTAATCCTTCAGCTAATTAAAACTTCTCATTCAAATGTTTATTGGATTTCCCACCTCAGAAAGGCCTTCTATGTTTGTCCATTTTGTTTGAAGTGGTATAATTGATCTTGATCCTAAGTTTACCTTTTCATCCTAAGTTTACCTTTTCATCCTAAGTTTACCTTTGGTCTAATAAGATTTGGTGTCATCTTTATAGTGCCCTTTCGATGTTTCAGTGGTTAGTGGTTAAATCTATAAAAAAATCAACGTTTATTGTTTTTTGGATATGATAACATTATGATTAATGTTTAGTAGATGAAGGCAGGATTGAATTCCAGTTCTGGGATTTGACTTTACTTACTTGATTTTACTACATCTTCCATTCTTACTAGAAATCTCCCAGAATTTTACTACTTTCGACATAATCACCCATCTAGGTAGATAAGTAGATACTCTTTTCTGGGTAAGAAGATAAATAGATACTTTTGATATCACTACTTATCTTATTGACTTCTGTTTGTGAACTGCACTTCTGAGGGAGAAACAATTTCACAACATTTTCTTTGATGTGAGGCTTTTACATGTTTTGGGTCCTTGATCCCATTTTATTAGTGAGCTTTGTTTCTCCATATTTCTTGGAAATTTTTTATCCATCTCTTTTGCTAACCAACAACCCTAAAAAGAAATCCAATCCACTATCGTTTGTTTTTCCTCCTTTTTTGGCAATACAGAGGGAAGAAGGAAATTCTTATTTGTTTCCAACTTCAAGCACTTAAGGTTTTACTTGGTTTGATCCCATGATCTATTCCTTCTAAAAAGATATTTCAGTGGGTTATGTTTTGTTCGTTGAGGAGCCTCCTTAAAAGGTGTTTATTATCTTTGGACATAGATCACTGAGGGAAGAAGGAAAGTTTTCTTGGACCAGCTGACCAGTCATGCTATTGCTCTGTTCCTTTTCTGGAACAATTCAATAAGAAGTTCCAGTTTGTTAACTTATCCTCATAAAGCATCTTTCTTGCACATGCAGTGAAGCCTGACTTCATGAAAGTGAAGAAATAATGATTTACCATCAGCCCAACATTGTTTTATTAAGATAAAAACACAGACATTTTTCTGTTTTCTCTATTATATTTCTAGCTCTTGTTTAGTACAACATCCTAAATGTTACAAGGCCCTAAGGTGGCAAAGAGTTTGACAAGTGTATGATGGAAAATAAAATGCCTATCAAATCATACCTGAAGTGATTCCCATTTTCCTATTATGGAAATTGTTGAGAAACAGAAAATTCTCTAAACATTTGTAGTTGAACTATCAAACCACTGTTCACTGGTCCATTTTCTGTTGATGATTAGTGTTTGTGTAAGAAATTAAAGGTCATTAAGGAATTAGATGCTTGATAAATTGAAGTTTTGAGAATAAAGGGAAATTAAGAACCAGTGAGAATGGAAAATGTGGTAAGGCATCACATCAATTCTTCCCAAATATGATTCCATAGATGGATGGATAGAATAATAATTAAGACATTGGCATTTCTAATATAATACTAAAGGATGCATAAAGTGTATGGGGCACTATGGAAACTAGCAGGAAATRTCCTCACCTGATGATAACTGTACATCCTCCTTTGCTGATGATGTTACTTCAAAAGTGGAAAAGCTGTAACGATCTTTTATTTGAAATCCAAATGAGAAGGGGAAATTATTACTGTGTTTGATATGAAAATTATTTTATAACCAATTTGCTAGGCATTTGATATGTAGGAGATTATTGACCAAAACTATTGTCCAGAAAGAAGACTAGTAAAGCAATGTATTTATTACTTTGTGTTTGATATCCAAATTATCTTACAACTAATTTGCTTTAAAGTGATTCCAAGCCTTGTAAAAAGGACATTACCTAATGTTGGTCCCAGCTATCTGGAGTCTCGGGAGGGGTAGACTGGATACATTCCTAACCTTTGGCAATTTTTTTTTCACAAAGTGGCTGCTTTCAGACTTGTACCAATGTTCTCACACTTTCCAGCCCGATATTGTACCAATACACCAAGTAATGGCCCATGATTTCAATCCATGTATGATATAAAAATTATTCTTGGAAAAACTGAATAAAAACTGTTGATCTTTAACAAGGATAAAGCTGCAATATTCTTGTGATCACATTGGGAATAATAAAGTTCATTTGTCAATGTTTTAAATGGTCAACATTCTACTGAAAATGTGAAGGATGATCGTAGAAAAAAGGGTTATTGTCAATATGCATATGTCTATAGAATCATTTTGCAGATTTAGTTTGGTAAATTCCAAGGGGCCTCACTCCTATTGTCAATATGCATATGTCTATTCAGATTGCAACCTGAATCTCATGTTCAATTTCTTTGAACAACAGGAATCTAATGTTGGTGTTAAAACATCTAAGGGCTAGTGCTTTTCATACTCTAAAGTATGATGTGAAACTTARTTGCAGCATGGGAGTCTGATAATTAAAATGTAATTTTCTTAAAAAAATGCAATTTAGGTCTAGATGGATTTGGCTTTCAGTAATCATTATGAGGATCTTTGAAAGATGCCTTGTATGATTTGTCTTTAATGGTTTTACAAGTTCCTTTGAATGGATATAAAACTTGAAAGTTGAAACAGTTCACGAAGGGGTGGAAGTAATATCAAAAGTCCTCAGTTTTAACTTCAATGGTTGTATTTGAGTACTGTAATAATTGGGAAAATATCTGCATTCTATATCCATAAATGATTCAGATAACATGTTCTTTAAATTGACTACTGGTATCCAGTCAAGAATAGTTGTATTTATTTTATTTGGTCCCACTCTTTCTCATTGTGAAGAGTTGTCTTAGGTAGAAAGAGCAGACTGGTTCTTAATGTTTCTTAGTAAACCAGTGAAACTTATATTTTAAATGAAATAAGATTTGAAAATATTGTGTGAATAATTAGGTTTGAATGACCTGTTTTTTCTATTCCAGCAGAACATGTTTTTATATACAATTGGAGTCCTAAACGTTAGGACTTGTTCCCTATTTTAAAAGAGAAAATCTTGCCTA